CCATTAGCCCTAATCCTGGCAAGGAAAACTGTTAGTTGTTAATGTTGAAATGTTTCTTACAGCTAGTAGACCAATTTTAGGTAAATTGTGAAACAAAGTTGTACTTTATAACATTTTATATTTATAATGATTTACTTTAAAATGTAGTTCCTAGTTAGGTATTTTGGCAAAAAGTAGAGATTCTCAAATGCAATCATCCATCCACAGGTACCTATGTAACTCATGGTGACTTTCCAGTGTTTAATAAACACTATGCTAGTTACCTCCTAAGTGGTATGTAGAAATTTTTGGAAGAGTCCTTTATAATGATAATTTTTATCATTAAAAATAATGGCAGAGTAATTATATCAGATCAACTCTCTTGCTCACAATAATTAGACACTGTGGACAATATATTAAAGGTACCGGGGAGTAATCAAAAGCAGGCAGAAACTGGAAGGGATATGAGCCTCAAAAGAAGAAAAGCAAACTATATGAAACCTACATTTATATAGCTTTTTCCCTGAAGGTATTCCTCAGTCCACACAGCACAAGAGGAACAGAATGCAAGCAGAAAATGGAAGTCTTACTGAGCTGAGGAGTCAAAGCTATTTGGAACTGTCTAAGAAACTAGAATTTGAGGAGGAGAAATCCTGGAAAAGACAGAACCACAGAGCGGGTAGCCCTAAAATATGCATACGACTCCCACTTAAATCCTTAAATGATTCCTGGCTGTGCATGAACAAGGTACTTAGGAACCCAAAGGAAAGCAAGAGCTGGAAGGCTGAAAGGCTGAAAGGCTGAGCTTGGTTCTGGGGAGTCAGAAGCTTGAATTCAAGTCCTACTAAATTAGAAAGGTTTGGGAAATACTAGGCTTACCAAGCACCTCACACTTCCCACTGATCCCCTTGAGGAGTCATACCTTTGGAGTAAGGACCACATCCCAGTACTAAGACTTATACTGTCAGACTAAAGGCAAAACAGAACTGGCAAAACAAGGTCTAAAACCAAGGCTTCATAGGATCAAGGTGATCTTCCAGTAATGTAACTGCCTGGTAAAACAAAACTCACCACTCTTTGGTGGAAGATAAACTTTAAAGTGCATCACTGACAATGCCTAGTAAATAACAAATACTACCATAAATGAGAACTAAAGGGAAATTGTACCCAAAGTCAAGAGAAAGAGCTGTTGATACAAACATACCCAAAGACAATCCAGATGTTAAGAACTGACAGATAAGGACTGCAAATAACTATGATAAATATGCCTTTAAAAATGCACACTTTGTAAATTTTACAAATCATAACCATACCCTCCCCCAACATTCTAGCAAATTTGAGTTACCCATGATTTTCAATCAAATTGGGATTTGGAATGGTTTATATTTGAAAGCCTGAGACAAACAACTTGAAAGTGATTAATGACAGCCAAACTTAATTATATATTTATACCTCCCAGTAGGACAAGGGAGAGAATAAAATGTCTTATCTCTCTGTAGTGAGAGGGCTTTATTAAGATCTGACAACAACTATTTAGGAGCAATAATTGAGTTTTATGCAAGATTACACAGGTTTTCCTTGTCTGGCATCATAGACTATGATAGGGTACTTAGGCTCCTAACAGTGAGAAAAAAACTGTTGAGCTGTGTACAAAACTAACCTTTAAAAGTACTTATCCTCATCTGTCAATGTGATCTTATCAAGGATTTCTATAATTTCTATAAACAACCATTATATTTTAGCTGAATCAGTAGCATTATGCTCTTTAAACAGATAGTCAGATACCTTCTACTTTAAAACATTTCCATTAATTCCCGTTCCCCATCCCCTTGTAAAAAGAATTTGGCTTCAACTTTCTTTTCTTATTCCACTAAGCAATCTCATGAATAAAAAGATAATCATATGCCTTGCATGTCTGACGTCATTTTTATAGAACTTCTAAGTGTTCTAATATCCATTTACCATTTTGGGAAAATAATATTTACTGAACAAGCTAGATTACCTTCCTTCCCCAAGGAAAAAAGCAAAGTTGGTGAAGATACAATGAAAGGTCTGTTAAGTAGATGTCATTTTTTTTAAGTTGATTTATTTTGAGAGAGAGAGACAGAGAGAGACAGACAGAATGCACAAGCAGGGGAGGGGCAGAGGGAGAGAGAGAGAGAATCCCAAACAGGCTCTGCACTGTCAGCATGGAGCCCAATGCAGGGCTTGAACTCACGAACCGTGAGATCATGACCTGAGCCAAAATCAAGACTTGGACACATAACCAACTGAGCTACCCAGGTGCCCCGGATGTTATTTTTGCTTAAAATGTTGCTTATCATTCTGTGGCATTTGCAGAGATGACTGACTTGGCCTCCCTGATGTTGTCCTTGCTTTTCCTATGTCCACTTACGTTGACACTGCCAGTCCTGATGACGCCAAAAGGTAGAGAAATACTCTCTACTCTCTATCTATAATATCTCCCGGTGTAGATAAGCACTCTCTTCTTACAAGTTTTATTGTTCATATTGGTGTCCCCAAAGAACAGCCTCATCCATTTCTTTTCTTACTCCCCCTTCTCAGAGGGCTTGTTTCCCTCACAACCTCAGGGTTGGAGGACAGCTGAGGGACCCCCCAGAACTATATATATCCATAAGCAGCCTAACCCATCAACAATTACCAAGCATCTAGGGGCAGAATGTATGCAGCTCCATTTCTGTCAACCACAAAGTGAGTTCCCTGTTCCCTAGAAGTGCTTCTTCTAGAAACTGGGGGCAACTTTGTCTCTCTCACCTTGGTTGGAGAGTTTGAGACTAACAGGCCACAAATCTGTCTCCCAAAAGCGACCCTTAGTGTCCTCTCCTGGTAAGTGCTCAGAGACTAGTCTCTCCCATGTCAGACCACAAATACATAGGCCAACACTTAGAATCTATTTGAAATTCCCCCTACATAAGTCACCAAGTTGAGTTGTGTCCAAATAGGACTGAAGTGCCTCTCAATATAGTACTACCATCCTGGATGCTGTGTGAAGCAAATAAAATTCTCAGAGGGGAGGATCAGTATCTTCTTATTTAAGACATGGATTTAAAAAATATGTGAACGTTGGGGCGCCTGGGTGGCTCAGTCGGTTGAGCATCCGACTTCAGCTCAGGTCATGATCTCACAGTTGACAAGTTCGAGCCCCACATCAGGCTCTGTGCTGACAGCTCAGAACCTGGAGCCTGCTTCTGATTCTGTGTCTCCCTCCCTCTCTGCCTCTCCCCTGCTTGTGCTCTGTCTCTCTCTGTCTCAAAAATAAAGATAAATGTTTTTTAAAAATTTTAAAAAAAATACGTGAACGATGGTATCTATTGGCATCTTTTAGTTCACGAAATACATTGTTAAGCTCTAGCTGCATTACCAGCTACTCCACCAGGCAGTAACTATACAAAAATGCACAAGGCAAGGACCTGCAGTCTAGTAGGAGAAACAAACACATCCACAAATGATCATAATGTAATGGGGTAACTACCACAAGAGGGGTGAATAATAAAATAAAGCAAGTAACCTAGACACCAGGTGCCAAAAAGGGCCTGAAGATTTTGGTAGCCAGTTCTAAGGTATTAAGTTCCTCCCCGTCATTATCTCTAGTTGTGTCACCATTCTGAGAGGAGACTACATCACATTTTTGTTTTTGTTTTTTGTTTTCCAGCTAGAAAAACTAGGTGAGCAGCTCATTATCAATTACATAAAAAATTTCATTTCCAGTATTGTCTTTATTCCAATCCAAACAACCTATGGTTAAACTTCACCATCATCACCACTTAAAATATTGTCACTCAGGTGAAGAGTTATGTTTCCTGACCTGCAAAAATTCTTTTTTTATGACATTAAAGAACTTAGATCCGAGGGTCAGAATGGACTTGATTGGAACAATTGTCATTATTATTTTTATGGTATTCAATTAAATATCCAGAGAAGAAATAAAAACATGTTGGATAAGGTCATTTAAAATGCTTATCAAGCAAGTACTGCTACCAAAGCACAGAACAAAGATACAGCCCATACAAGTGTTAAAGAAAACAAAAGTCCTATTATCAAATCTTATTTTCCATGATATAAATAGAACGAATACATTCTCCTGTTAAAAATTTTCAAATGAGCTGGATGGAAAAGAGGAGCTATTTATGAGATAATCTCACAGGCCTCCTCAAATCAACGAAAAGCATAAACTAGGTTGTTGGAGAAAAAAGAAAAACTGCTCCTAAGAAACTAGCCTACACTCCCTAGTACTGTTCCTGACTCTTACTCTTTTAAACCCCTATAGTGACATTCTCCATGGCACCTGCTTTCTGTCCCATCCCTGCAGGTGCATGCCTCCTTCTCACAGTCTCTCTTTCTGAACTGGACTTTTTTACACCAGAAAAAATAGTTTTGCATGGCTATAATATTCACTTACACTAGGCAGAATTAAAGCTAGTATCAATTGTGGTTTGACTTAAAAACAAGATCATAACTAACGTGTTGAGGAGCGATTCTAGGAATGTACCCAATATACATTAACTAGTCACTCACTGAAAAGTCTTTTTCATAATGAAGAAGATAACGATGAGATAAGAAGTTCTTGTTAACCATTTATCTGACATCCACATCCTTCCATCCTCATTGCTCACAAAATTACACCAGAAAAGTTAGAGACCCAGTAACATTCACAGAAGTATTAAAAATAGAATTAGTGGGGTGCCTGGGTGGCTCAGTCGGTTAAGCATCTGACTTCAGCCCAGGTCATGATCTCACAGTTCGTGAGTTTGAGCCCCGCGTCAGGCTCTGTGCTGACGGCTCAGAGCCTGGAGCCTGCTTTGGATTCTGTGTCTCCCTCTCTCTCTGCCCCTCCCCCACTCTCACTCTGTCTCCTGCTCCTTAAAAAATAAACGTTAAAAAAAAAAATTCTTTTAATAAAAAAAAAATAAATAGAATTAGTAGGACCAAATCTTGTCCAGTGTGCTATTGAGGAAAAATAAAATATATAAACAGGGAAAAAAACAAACAGAAAAACTTACTTGCAGTATCCTGTACCATTGTGGTAGGTAACACATATTCCTTCATTTACACAGGGCTCATAGCTGTCCCGACACTGCAATGCTAAAAATAAAAACAAATGCGTATTAGAAATAAGTCACTAATCATAACCCTCAGACAGCAAAGAAATGTTACCCAATCTAGGTCAACATCCGTTCCTATATCCGACCTGATCTGGGTTTCCCTTTAGAGGTTCAATCAGGTTTTCTTGTTTGCTTGCTTTGTTTTGTTTTTGTCCTTTGGCTTCTGGGGTCATAGGAGCATGGAAGCTCATCCTAGGAGTCTCTTCCTATAATAACTGTTTTGTAGTCTTGAACGATGCCCCTAATTATCTGTGCCTCTATCTCTCCAGCTATTGCATCCCTATCTCCCAATGATACTAAGAAAATTAAAGCTCTAACATCCATGATATGCCATGAGCACCTTTAGTTTGGAAACATAAGGATTCATCAATGAATATTTAGGAAGACCTGGGTAGATATCAGGTCACCATGATATTAATGAATTACCTAAGGCTTCGAGTGAAGTTTTAAAACAGGCCACTTTAATATGTAACAGAAATATCAACAAAACTCATTGAACAAACTGTAATTGAGAGCCTAGTATGTATGAGGCACAGTACTAGGATCCAGAGAGAAAGGGGAAGTGGAATACATAAGAAATGAATAAGACATAATCTCTAGCCTTAAAGGGCTCACACAAAGATGGGGAGTAGACCACAAATGCGGATTATAGAGGAGGCGGGGGGTCAAAGTAAGGAAAATAAAAAGTTAAAGTTTTATACATGCAGATAAAACAATAACTTTCAAATTCTTAAACTCCAGTCCTTTTATAAGGCAACAAAAAGGCGCTTCACCACCACAATCCCTCCCCAAAAAAGACTACTCAGAAATAAACAGTAATAGTAGAAACTTTCACTGATTTCAGCCCGAAGAGAAGGGAGGCTACCCAAAGTCTACTACTCACTTGCTGGTTAACTACAATACCTTGATTGTTCAGCTTTCAGAGTTGGAATTTTCATCCCCAAAATCCTTATCATGAATCCTAATAACAATTGGAAAGGCAAGACAGAAAGCAACCTAGCCAAACAATAAAAATCAAAATTGAAGTTAATTAATTTTTCTGGAAGATTATTAAGATGTCCATTTCCTAGGGTGGTTATAAACCTGAAAGCAAAATTGAGAAGTCTCCACCTTTGAGTTTCCTCCAGCCATACTACTCTCTGAATAAACTGCTCAATATCAGAGGCTGTAGGCCTGCCCTGCTTGGGGCATCAAAATCAGCTTCCTTTCAGGGTGCGGGCAGGCACAAGCTGCATGTTACAACAACTACATTAACAATTACTGAGTAAGAACCCTCTATTTTCCCAGTACTGTGACCAACGGATGGAACCATTTGAGGACATGTTTACAGAAATCTCATCCCTTAAAATAATAATATTTTAAAAATAGTAATAACCATAGCAGCTAACACACTGTACTTACTAAATATCAGATACTATTTTAAACACTTTGCACAGACTAATTCAATGCTCCCTACGAGCCTATGAAGAAGTTAGTTTCATTATAACAGTTCCACAAAAAAGGTAAGTGACCTGCCTACCGCCACACCAGTGAGTTAAAGAGGCAGAACTTGAACCTAGGGAGTCTAGATCCTACAAGAGAGTCTGTGCTCTTAACTTCTGTGATACACTGCTTCCCAACCTCTGGCAGTTTTCTTCTCAGGATAGGCAGAACAGGTATTATTAGACCCATTGACTAGAAAGTGGAGGCCAAGGAGGTGAGGTGACCTCCTCGTGGAGCATCACACCACACTAGCTGTGCCAGTGCTGGGCCCGGGACCCAGGTCTCTTAGTGAGTCCAGCCCCATCTCTATGGCAGCCGTTGGGATCACACAGTCACTAAGCTGCAGCCTGAAGAGACAGATTCAGGAAGAGGGTCATCTTGTTGTCCATATCCCACTTCCCTGTAGGGCTCAAATGCTCCCTCTTCCCACACTGATAAGGCCAATGCTACAACTATAATTAAAACAGTTAATGTCAGGTTATTTCCTCCATACCAAAGTTCTCAAACTGTTTTTTTCATTCTCTTTAGACACTTTTATTAGTTTCAATGAGAACTTCCTGACTTTTTTCTATTTGCTTTTTTTCTTTAAATAAAAAAGAAACCTGTCAGTAGGAAAGGAATGTCCTGCAGGCAGGGAGCGGGCTAAGCTGCAGCCCTGTCCTCCCCCTGCAGGAGTCCTGGCGCAGGGGAGACTTGAAATCCCGCCTCCAGCACTCGCCTGCTGTACTACTGCCAAGTACAGCACAACCTCACGGGGGCTCAATTTCCCTACCTGTAAACTACGCTGGCGTGGACTAAATGCTTCTGAAGGTCTCCTGCGATCCAACAGTGACACCTCCCTCGTCAAAAGTATGTGAATGGCATACCTGGTGCCTGGAGAAATCTATGCAGAAGGACATTAAGAACCTAGCCACCCATGACTCAGAAAGCCACGGGTGCAAAAAAAAATTACAGTCTGTTCCTATTAAGTGTCCTGGCAAATCATTACAGTGACAAGTTCAGAGAAACACAAACAACCCAAAGTCAGTATGTGGCAATCCATCTAGCAAATAACTTTACAGCCTAGCCTTAGTGAACCAATCAAATTCAGTGACCAAAAAGGAGGTGGGCTTACAGGGCTAAAAATTAATGCCATCTGGCTAATCTTTAGGATCACACTACCTTGACCCTTTAACGTTTACTAAGCCATGGTGCTCAAAGTGTGCATCAGAGTCAACTGGAGGGCCTGCTGGACCCCAGCCCCACAGTTTCTGATTAAGGAGGTCTAGAAGGGGCCTGGGCACTTGCATTCCTAACAAGTTCCCAGGTAATAGTGATGTTAAAGTCTGAGGAACCATACTTTGAGAACTTTAAGGAATCCCTAAGACTATACAATCCACTGGAGGTCTCAGGTAACCTAGATAGTAAGATGTTGCCTGAATAGACAAAAGAAAAATAAAGTAAAATTTGAGACTCATGACTTTGCTTAGGAGTAATCTGTAAATGAATAGTGTAATAATGTGCCATTCAAAGAGAAGTTAAAACTTTGATAATTTGAAAAAACTGCAGTGAGACCAGGAAAGATCTCATTTCAAAATTCAATTTGCCCTTCTTCCAATGTAAAACATTTAAATTTAACAGTGAAATTGAAAGCACCTTTGTATTTGTAGAGTAAAAAACAAACTGCTCAATCAGACCCCATTTACAGAACAGATGCTTAAACTAATGTCTTAGTAGACTCAGAGAAATGAGTCACTCACAAAAAGGGTAACTTTTTCTAAAATTTTCATCTTAAGCCACAGTGATCACTCAATAAATACTGCTGACTTAAATCAATCTCATATACTGTATGTGTGTGCATGCATGCCTTCCTCCCCGCCAAAAAGGGGTGAAAACAGCAGATTTCAATTTTATCATTCCATCACTTGGCAATGTGATACAAAATCTAGACACCAATTTCTAATTTTCACACATTTCCTGGGCAATGTATTTGGGGACTACGCTTCTAATGCTGAGAACACACTTACAAAGCATCTACTCCATGAGGTACTAGCCCAAATTCAGGGATTCCACGGTTAACAGAATAAAGTCCCTGTCCCCGTGAAGAGGGAAAGAGAGATTATAAATGAATAAATAAATAATGTCATTTCAGACAGTGGTAAGTGATAGATTCTGTTGGAAACAGAACCTGGATTTGGGAGACAGAGTAACTACAAAGGCTGGATAGAGTGACTAGGAAAGGCCTCTCTCAGAAGGTATCTTTGAGCCAAGATTTAAATGAAAAAGAATCATGAAGATGTGGGAAAGAGTAATCCCAAACAGAGAAAGAGCAAGTGTAAAGGCCATGAGATGGGAATGAGACTGGTATTCCAGGTGCACGTGGCTAGCGACTATTTAGCAAGGCAGAGAGTGGTAAGAGGCAGGCAGGGATTAGACTCCCATTTCTGGTCTAAGTGTGAAGGTAAGTACTGCTTGGCTTTAAGCAAGGACAATGACACCATCAGATTTGTGTTTGAAAACAGTGACGATTATAAAATGTTCCAGTGAGTGAAAGGTTTCTTTTTTACATATGTGTATATAAATTTAGTCAAGTCTTCCCTTTTTAGAATAGGTTGAAGATATCCATTCTCTTAGCTCCCCCAAAATGGTAAGAATTTTATTCTAACCTCATCCAATCTCCCAGAAGCCCCACTTGCAAAATGTTGGTCCAGCACTCTATAATCTACATTGACTTTCAGTTCTACTCAATTCTCAGAACTTACTCTCAGTTTGGCTTCAGAAGAACCAGACGAGAGGTCTATGCACTACCTTCACACAATGCCATGGTTCACACTTCTTCCAGGGACAGGCCTTTTCTTACGTCTTCCAGTCTACACCTTCAGGCTCGCCTTCAAGACTGCAGCCCACCTTCCCTGCCCAGTGCCCTCCCACCACAGTAAATGCGGTCTCTCCCTGGGACGGATCACCACTGCCCTCCAGGCCTCTACCTACTTCTCAGCTTCCTCTGCTGCCACTTCCCTCCACCATCTACACTCTACTCACTCTTTGGAGGCCCAGCCCACCTCCTGCCTCCCCCTCATAGCCTCCGAGTCTTACGACATTGACAACTCACTCACAGTTTAGCCCTTAATTCTATACGGTCTTCTCTCTCTGCTTGTCCATGTTTAAGTTCCAGAGGATAGAAGACCTTTCTTCTTTTCTATCTATTTGAGGCAATATAGTTTAATGCACCAGCATCTGAGCTTGGATTCTGGCTCCACCATTTACTATCTGTCTCTGTATCCACTTTGTGCTTCAGTTTCCTCACCTATAAAATCATCTCTCAGAACCCTGGTAAGAAATAAATAATTAACCACTTAAACAGCCTCGAACAATGCCTGATACAGAAGAACTCAAAAAAAACCTAGCTCACATAGTAGGTACTTAAATTCTTGGTAACTAAATGCATGATAAATGGTGCCTTTAGGGAAACTTGTTATATCAATCAAACCCTAGTTTAAACATACTGAGAAATCTAGAAAAATAGAAGAGCCCCAGGCAATTTAGGATGTAATATCATTAGGTGAAATAAATTCTTCCCAGTTGCCATCGATAACAATCTAATAAAAGACATACTGAACTACTACTACTACCACCAAAAAAAAAGAAAAGAAAAAAAAAGCAGAGGTCACTGCTTAAAAAAAAAAAAAAAAAAAAAAAAAAAAAAAAAAAAAAAAAAGGTATAGTACTGGAATAGTACTGCAGGAATAAGAAGCCACTCACTAAAGGTACACACTATATATGAGCAAAAATGTCTTTCAATTTTAACATGGTTCTATTACTATTGTTTGAAGAACTTACTGTGAGCATGGCCTTTTACTAGGCATTGCATGGAAATCAAACAAATGAAACAATTCCTATCCTCACAGTCCATACAATCTAATGAAGGGAAGTTAGGGGTAGGGGCAAAGAGAATGTGATCTACCCAAATGACTCTGAGATAAATACAAACAAAATAAAACTTGTTTTTATATCTTTAGCAAACCCTCTTCATATCAATCTCAGGACCACCCTAAAAAGAGCCGCTAAGAAATACAACCCAAACCCTTGTTGTTTAGCACTGTGTAACTCAGTCCAGACAAGGTTCTAGTATCGATTCAGGTTTATTGGCCTTATTTGTCTATAAATACTACAAAAAAAAACCAGAATAAGCTGTCATTGATTTTGACCAGGTCCAGGGCTTCAGGAATCTGCCCATTTAGGGACTGGCCCAAGGTATCCTGACTTGATGAAATCTTCCTTAAGATTTCGTCTAGGCGTCTGCCTAGTTTTCCAGGGCTTTTCAGTATCATGCCAGCTACATATCATTGGTTTAAAAGCCTCCCTTTGTTTTACGAATCTCTAACATGAGTAATTAAGTCTGCACCCCAGCCAGTTGTAATCTGAGCAGCCTTCAATGTGTTTCACTTGTTGCATTAACATGTAATCGCTGTGAATTGGCATTACTTGTTGCTTTGTAGCCTCTTCAAATAAGCCTCTGTTGTCTATCTCACATGATTTTTTTTTTCCATATCCTGCTCCACTGGTCTGCAGTGTGGTATGTGTTTGTGTTTATATCCACTGCTCACTCAAAAGCCGTTTTAATATCTTAAATGGGTGGGGTTCCTAAAATACGTGAAGAGAAGGTATACAGGGCCTTTTGAATTTTCTCTTTAACGTTTATGCAAATTTTGAGTACCAGCATTTGAGAGACAAGTCCTCTGAGTTTATGCCCTAGGACCTTGGCTACAGCTAGCTGCTGCTGCTGCTGCTGCTTCAGGCACATGGTGTCTGGAAGAGACCCGGTAAAATGAACAAAGCAAAGTTTTCCAAAATGACTGCTTGCATTATTACCAAAAGTAGGAGAATTGAGGGCAGACAGAGAGACATCAGGGATTTGCAATAATTCTCATAGCACCCTGTGATTTCAAACAACAAACTTCCACTAAACTTTTTATTCCATTTTTTGGGATCAAGCCATGAAAAAAAAAAAAAAAATCCAAACAAACAGAAGTGCAGAAGCTTCAAATCCCAAGTGGTGCATTTAAATAAAAACAAAGTAGAGAAACATCTGTCTTCCTCTTTGAAATTCGTCTTGATTAAAAGGCAAATAAATACAACAAGGAAGATACCAGTTTTTTATTTTCCTGATAGTGTTACAAGGATTTCTATGTCCTTTACAGGTATCATCTAATAGAAAATGTGTTTCCTATTTAAGAGATGCTAATACCAGACCCATAAAGATTGAGGCTTAGGCTATAGAGTTCATAGCAAAATAGTATTACTTTTCAAAAAGAGGTATACCTTGATTTAAGAAAATATAACCAACAGAAACTGAAATTATAAATTACATAAGGGGGGGGGGGGGCGCCTGGGTGGCTCAGTCGGGTAAGCATCCGAATTCAGCTCAGGTCATGATCTTGCGTCCTGAGTTTGAGCCCCGCATCCAGCTCTGTGCTGAAAACTCAGAGCCTGGAGCCTGCTTCAGATTCTGTATCTTCCTCTCTCTCTGCCCCTTCCCCACTCATGCTCTGTCTCTCTCTCTCTCAAAAATGAATAAATGTTAAAAAAAATTTTTTAATAAAAATAAATAAGTAAATAAATTACATAAGGGTGTTTTTGACATTACTAATGTAATATTCATTTTATAAAGATAACCATCCTAATGAGTTGATGAATCTAGAATAATCTTTTATTTTAAAAATGCCAATTTTGTCTATTTTATACTATTAGATTCACTGCAAAAAACAAAATCCATCAATATTTGCTGTGCTATATTGACATATACTATGCATTGTTATTTACTTTTTTATTTTTGTCTTCTTAAAGACTGCAGAAAAATTTTCATTTATGAGTTAAATAAAATTAATAATTATAAAAATATATTTATAAATCAGATGTGGCCAATTTGTTAATAATCACTTCTCCACACATGTGCATTCTTTCACTTGGAAAATACTTCCCCTCCCTTTCTTCCTTATCCATCTAGCTTACTCCTACCTATATTTCAAATCATAGATAAAACAATACCTTCCTTAAGAAGCCCTCAGAGACCCTCCAGTCTGATTTAGATGTTCCCCCTCTGTGCTCCCATTACATCCTAGGTAGATTTTTTTTTTTTTAAAGTGCTGGCTCACCTGTCTCTCTCCCTCATCTGGGTGCAAATTCCCTAAGATACAACTAGCTCATCTTTGTCTACCTGGGACCTAGCCCAGTGCTAGAACCGTAAGCAGGTACAGTCAATACTCAAGTTATTCAATGAACTATCTTTAACACAAAACCTATTAACAAAGTCAACAAGTCAACACCCAACTTGTGTTTAAAATGTTCTAAGGCCTCAATTTTAACAAGCATAGTGATCCCAAATGTGACTGTGCCTAATAATTCTGATATCATTTTGTATAAGCAGTAGAAAAATAAAATGAGAAGGAAATAATGGTGCAAATTTCCTGGCCTTTAACAGGGAAGAGAAGTTGAGGAAGTGGAACCTTATTTTTCTAATCTTCACAAAACTAAACATATTTGGAAGTTCCTGCTTTAACATTTGCATGAATTAAAGATGCAGCTTCCCCCACTCTTCCCCATGAATCTTAAGCTATGTGTATTATGGTGAAGAATTGATTTAAGGGGTGACTGGGTGGCTCAGTCAGTTGAACGTCCGACTCTTGGTGTCAGCTCAGGTCATGATCTCACAGGTTCTTGAGTGTGAGCCAAGCCCCACGTCAGGCTCTGTGCTGACAGTGCAGAGCTTGCTTGGGATTCTGTCTCTCTCCCTCTATGTCCCCCTCCCTCCCAAAAAAAATAAATAAATAAAGATTTAAAAAAATGAATTCATTTAAATGAGTTGAACAAAAGCCAAAGTAATTTACATCTAAACAGCAAATACAGAAAACATAGTAATAAAAATTCCAAGTGAATGGTAAGCTAAGATCATATGTTTTCATTATATAGTACCATTTTCCCCAAGTAGATTCACTAACACACATCCACAGAAAAATAAGCACCAATCTGATCCAAAGTAGACCTGATGTATTTCTTCACTATGAGCATCTAACCCTTTGGAAAATGACACTGATCAAAATAATTACAGGATTTATATATCCAAAAGGTTCATTCAGGATCTCAGTATAATAAAACCCAAGTGCAGGGGGCGCAGGGCGCCTGGGTGGCTCATTCAGTTAAGTGTCTGACTTTGACTCAGGTCATGATCTCGTGGTTTTTTAGTTCGAGCCCCACGTCAGGCTCTGTGCTGACAGCCTGCTTCGGATTCTGTGTCTCCCCCTCTCTCCGCCCCTCCCATGCTCATGCTCTGTCTCTCTGTGTCTCTCTCTTGGTCTCTCAATAACAAATAAACGTTCAATTTTTTTTTAATAAATACAAAATAAATAAAATAAAACCCAAGGGAGGAAGAAGCTGTATCAGATCTAGAAGTTAAATTATTCTCTATACAAATATATATATAGTGACATATAGTGGTCAAAAAAGGCCAATCTGAGGAGTTATTCCATTGTCTTATATCTTCTATTACCTCCTCTGTTCTATGATGTATATCTGTTGTTATCAGAAACAAACTCAGCCTGTCACCAATTTCCTGTGCTTTTAGTAAATGCTCCCTTTTTAAAGCTTTTTAAAGACTATTTTGTTAAATACAGCTTCATTTTTTTTAAAAGCTCTTAATTTTAAATACATGCTTTTAAGTACCCTTGCTAGAAAAGAATTTTATAAATATATATAATCTTCTTGCTACCCACCCAAGAGAAACAAAAGTGCTCTTTTAGCTTAAATTGTTCAGAAAGCTTTTTAAAAGGAGCAGACAATTTCTATTGTTTGTTAATTTAGAGGTAGAGAACAAAATTATGTTAAAAATAAAAATGAAAAAACCTGAGATTGTTACATTTTATAAAATCATGGAGAATTCCCAAAACCAAATGGGGTAAATCCAGAGAACACCCTAGATTTCTTCATGGGTGTCTCTTCTGCAGCCTTTTTAAAACAACTTTGGTTGTAGCAATGAAGGCTACTCCCAAGAATCAAGTCACCAGAACACCGTAAACTGTCACCGTATGACAGAAAGTCTGAGTCCAGCATAAAGCACCTCTACGTGTTAAGCTAACTGTTCTGAAGCCAGGGCCTGAAGAAGCTAAGATCGCAACACTTGGGTTATTTCTACATTATTATCTGGGTGACAGAGGTTCCACATCTTCATCCAAAACCACTACTCACCTGTGGACAATATTCAACTCAAAACTCCTGCACATATCACTGAGAATTGTCTAAACCCAAGAGCTCAAAAGGTCCTACCCAGAATATTCCAGATAAGCACAGAAACCTTCATTGTGAGGAAAATGTCTAAATGTGGAGATGGTAAATGTATACCATTCCCATTTCCAGGAACATGTCTGGGACAACAACCTTGGAACAGAGGAAGGTAGACACTAGGAAAATATCAAATCTTTATTAACTACTGAGGGAAGAAAAAAACATGTAATATAGCATCAAACTTTAATTTTTATTTAGTTTTATTTTCAATCGCTCCCTTCTTTTCACTTGTTTCTTCAAACACAGATCAATGTCAACTCACACCAACATAACTTGGGCCCCAGGGTCAACAGAAAAAAGTAACAATAATGTACACTTAAAGGTGTTTGATGAAGAGCTGATAATTTCAATGTTCAACCAGGTCCTCTTTAAAACCCCTCTCCTCTGACACACAAACCTTTCAACTACTCATATTCTGTCTTTACTGTGAGTGTAAGAATTTACCTCTAAGACTACTTAGGTTTCTATGGAGTAAAAACAGCCCCACACACTGACAGTCACAATCTGGTGTGCAAATGGACATGGCCCTTCTTGTTCGTCCAGTTGTTGCTGTGGATGCCCAAAGAAAGGCAGTAAAGACAGAAAATTTTGTCTACACTAATAAATGACCATACCAGAACTTGAAATTTCCATGTTTATTTTTTAAAAAGGAAGGAAACCTAGGTTTCTCCATTTGCAGCAACACCTGGCTTGGCAAACCCAAAATTTATGTTGCCTTCATGAAGGTCTTCTTAGTTCTAGAGAGGCCAAGAGACTTCTCTTGTTTCAGCTTTAGTCCAGAGTTCTCAGAAAGAGCTACAGAAATAATGTAAACCTCAATATATTAAATTAAAATTGAGGGGATAAATCCTGTAAGGGGTGTTGACTTTCTGGAGCCCAATCTTCCTCAGTTCCTATGAATGAATCACAACTTCCTAGAGGAATTAAAAAAAAAAAAAAAAAAAAAAAAAAGGCAGATGTCCTAACCCACCACCCATTCCATCTGCTTTGCCGCCTTTCTCCTGCCTGGCAGCCCAGGGGGGTTCCAGGAAAAGATGGATTTTGGACTGAACAATACCCATGCCATGTCTGTTCTACCTAGTTTCAACCCAGCTATGATGTTAGGCATATGGTAAGTGTCTGAAAAATGCTTTCAAAGCCAAACTGTTGAAGGAGCAGGCCAGTTTTCTATCTCCCTCCAAGAGAACATAAACAAGTCCCTAATTTCCCACAAAAGAAGACAAAAATAAAATCTGCAAAATGATAGTTTATTCTAGCTTTCTAAGGTCAAGAAGACCTGGCAGAGGAGATATTTTCATCTCTTTTGTTTATCTCTCTTAAAATACTCTCCTTAGTAAAAATTCATTCCACTTTGGGGACATGGGAGTGATATTCATGTAGAACAAGAGGGATTTAAAAAGGGAGTTTTACCAGTTACACCACTCTAGGCCCAGTGGGAATGTCCTTCCCACCGCCACCTCATCACAT